AGGGTTTTAGGGTTTAGGGTTGACGAATTACAGCCATCCCCTTTGAAACCACCACCATTGCTCTTTACACACCATACCAGGAATTTACCACAACTCCCATAGCTAGCGGCTACTATCGTGAACCATGTAAACCCTAGACCCCAGGCCGAAAAAAATATACATACAAACCAAAAAAGAGTACCCACAAATCCTGAACCCTAACCCCTAAACCNNCCTACACCCTAAACCCTAAAACCGTATGGCCACCCTTCTAGCGACCATCATAGTAACCTTTTTGAAAGCCGGCCTGCGGCCGCACGGCCGGGTAAGGCAAAACCTGGGCCATCTCCTGGACCAGCACGGGCTTTAAGGTTAGGGTTTGGGAGTTCAAAGCTTAAGGCTACTCTTTTAAAATGCATGTTGAGGTTTAGGGCTGAGGCTTTACGGTTTTGGGTGTACGTTTTGAAGTTTGACGGTTTGAAGTTTGGGCTTTAGGGTGTAGGGCTTGGGGTGAAGACCTTCTTTACAAAGCGTAATTTTAAGGGTTTCAGAAGGATTCTCTGTCTTGGCCTTGGCTGAGGTTCTCGGGTTTAGGGCTGGGAAGTATATCTATCGGAATGCAACTATATTATACAAAAACTACCCTAAAACCCTTAAGTCCAAACCCTATTCCGGCAGCTATGTGATGACCATCCTGCGTGTCGTAGTCGGGCATTTGGAGCATGTGCTGCTGAACTGAGTTCCGCCACAGCCCGATGGCCCTCTTGGTGTCCTGACTTGTTGGTTTTAGGGTTTTTTTGGCACGACACTTTTCGTTTTGGGTGTAGGGTTGCGGATTTAAGGAACCCTCATAAGCCCGAAAATTGGGCCTTCGACATTTGAAAACTGCATACAATCCGAATACGGCTACGAAATCAAACTGCACTGCTTCATACCGCTAGTGTCGCCCTAAATCCTAAACCCTAAACCCGAAATCCCTAAACCCCTAAACCCCTAAACCCTAAACCGCCCTGAACCTTAAACCTTCACCCCCAAGACTCTTAGTACCGCTGCAAGCCCTGAACAGGTGAGGAGGGGCTAAACAAACAAAAACCCAATTCCCAAGAGGCAAAGATTTGAGCCTTAAAGCCACAAAGCTGACTCGGACGACAAATGCTGCTGCTAATGGTGAAACTTGGACCGGCCAAACCGGCAGGAACAAAGGCCTTACAGGCTACCACAAGGGATTATGGGTTGAATAGAGGAGGCTTAACAATCGCAAACCCTAAACCCTAAACCCGGAACCCCAAACCCTAAACCCCAAACCCGAAACCCCAAACTCTAAACCCTCAAGAAAGAAATAAATAGAAATTGCTTGTCCTTTTTTGTAACTACAGCCGCGGCTTAGCCCCGGCCCAGCACTTCGGACCCAAAATCAAATGAAGTTGCACAAGAAAAATCGCTGCAATTTGTGCATCGACCTTAACAATTTCTAAAAACTAAAAACCATAAACCCCAAACACTACACCCTAAACCCCAAACCCTATACCACAAAACTGGCACCCATTTTTGCCCAGGAGCCGGCTGCCGCAGCCACTTTTGGGGATCGGCCTCGCAAGTCTGAATATCTTGGCTTGATCTCTCTTTAAGGGCCTGCCTTTAGGGTTTGGGTTTCGAGTTTCGGGTTTAGGGCTTCGGGTTTAGGGTTTAGGGTCTAGGGTCAAGGGTAAAGGGGGCCATGGTCTAGTCTAGGGCTGTACACCTAAAAAGGGCCCTATACGGTTTCAAGGCCTTTCGGGGGTTACGCTGTGCTGGCTGGCGCTTTCGGGGCTCCACGCTTCAAGATGGGTGGCTGCTTCTTATTCTTATTCTTATTATTCTTCTTCTTCTTATTCGTCTTCTTATTCGTCTTCTTTTTGTTATTATTATTTTTGTTCTTCTTCTTCTTACTATTATCATTCTTCTTCTACTTTTCCACTGAGCAGGCGCTATCAGCTGATCCACAAACTTAAAGCCCTAAGCCTTAAACCCATAACCTCGCTTTCATATGTATTTCAACCTTAGCGGTGTTCGTCGGCATTTGCGATTTCGGGCTTTTTCGCAATTGCCTACGAAAAACTCGCAAATGCTCAAAGAAATCGCAAATGCTCAAAGAAATCGCAAATGCCGACGAAGAAATCGCAAATGTCGGCGAAGTTCGTCGACATTTGCGATGTTTTCGTCGGCATTTGCGATGTCTTTGATGGTGTTCGGAAAAGCCCGAAATCCCAAACACTATTGAGTGTTAAATACATATGAACGAGAGGTCTAGGGTTTAGGTTTTTAGGGTTTAGAGTTTGGGGCTTTTCCGGTTTTAGGGTTTAGGGTTTTTGACCCTAAACCCTAAACCCTAAACCCTAAACCCTAAACCCTAAACCGTGTTTAGGGTCTAGGGTTTCCATACCTTGGCCGGAGCACAACATCTTGACTAGAGTAGACTTCACACATCTGCAAGGCTCCGTGTCCAGAGCTTTAAGGCCTAAACCCTAAACCCTTAACCCTAAACCCTAAACCCTAAACCCTAAACCTAAGCTTGCGGGTCTGGGGGTGATGGACCGAAGACGTGAACCTGCAGAACAAAAAGGTCGGGCTGGATGCGTCTGTAGGGTTTAGGGTTTAGGGATTTAGGGGGTTAGGGTTTAGGGTTTAGGGTTTAGGGTTTAGGGTTTAGGGTTTAGGGTTTAGGGTTTAGGGTTTAGGGTTTAGGGATTTAGGGGGTTAGGGTAAGGTTGCCGAAGTTGAAAATGGGGGCGCAGAGCAGTACTAAGTACTAGAAATCTTCATGCGGTTGCCTTTTTGACGGTTGCTCCAAGACTTTCTTTAACAACCGGATCGACGCCTCAGCCTCGGGTTGGGCATGGAGCTTCAACGTTCTAAGGATTTTCGCTTGGGGTCTGGGGGCTAAGATCTGGGATTTTTAGGCTGGAGACTTGAGGGCTCCTCGTTTAGGGTTTAGGGTTTAGGGTTTAGGGTTTAGGGTTTAGGGTTTAGGGTTTAGGGTTTAGGGTTTAGGGTTATCATAGGCTCTATAAGGGATGCTAAGAGGGCTCTATTCTATGACGGTTCGTTCTATGTGGGTTCTGTGTGGGTTCTGTTCTCGCTGTCGGACTTTGAAAGAGGACGGAGGCACATGGAGAAAATCAGATATGACAATAGCATTAAGAAAGACCTAGTGGCATGAAAACAACACTTTTTGAAGCCAAAGACCTACCAAATTCTCAACCCCAAAACCCGCAAAAACAAACCCTGAACCCTAAACTCTCTCACTCCCCCCCTAAACTTGAGCCACGTGAACCTCGATTCCTCATGAAACTGAGACACCCCTGCCTCCAAGAATACCTGCGGTACAGCATTGGAGTTGATGGTGAGGAACGCCTGCTGCATGCAGGTTCTCAAATGCTCCTGCCGGCGCGGCTGGACAAAACCTACATCCAAATATGGGGGCCTTAGTAATTGGAACAGGGTTTTGGGTTGTATTTTGCTGTAATTAGAATAAGGAAGCTTAAAACAGTATTGGGAGCTATCTAAGCGCCTATATTGGCAAACCGTGCAACCTCATCACCCGCCCACAGAAAGCGGCAGGACATGAAACCATCAGTCTTGAAAGTCTGCACCCGAAACCCCAAACCCCCAAAACCATGAACCGTCTTCTTGTGAAACCCAGGCTCAGAGATTTTTGGGAAGTTGTGTAGGGTTCAAGGTGTTTTTGCGGTTGTATAAGGTGTCTGTAAGGGTTGTATGGTTTTGTAGGTGATTTGTACGAGGTACCTACGATATGCGTTTGGTTTTGGCTTTTGGGTTCAATCCGCGGGATCCAAGGCTTTCAGGTTCGGGAGTTTACTTGATTACTTGGGCTCAGGAACTAGGGTTTAAGGTATAGTTACTGTAGTTCTCGTCGATGATCGTCGATTTACAGCGCATATTCTAGTTGTTGTTACATTGTTCATCAACGTGCAGGTACATGAGCTTGATCAGACCTCAATATCCTGGCATCCTGACTGGAGCTTCGTTGCACCAGGCCAGTCAAGCGTCCCTGGTGCCCCTGCTGCCGAAAGAAAGCTACTGACACTGGCTGGTATCATACAGCAAAACGATTGGAGAGTGACCTCCCTTAGTCCATTACCGAGAACCGTTCACACACACACACACACCAACCAACCAACCGACCAACCAACCAACCAACCAACCAACCAACCAATATGGTCCTTGCCTCAGCACCCTTCTCCACATTATGAAAGACGACCCTCACCACCAAACTCTAAGCCCGAAGGCTAAACCGAAAGGCTTGGAGTGCAGCGTTTAGGGTTCAGGTTTTGAAGGCACAGGGAGTTTTGGTTCTTAGGGTATACGTCCTTTTTGGTTTCACATGCCGCACCCGGTGTTTGCTTTGAGGCTTTTAGTGTGAGCTGACTTCGGACCGGGAAGTCTGAAACCCCTACAGCCCCAGATCCGATACAGTTTAGGGCTTAGGGTTTAGGGTCTAGGGCTTAGGGGTTAGGGTCTGCGGCTTAGAGTTTAGGGTCTAGGGCTTGGGGTTAGGGTCTAGGGCTAAGGGCTTAGGGTTTAGGGTCTGCGGCTTAGGGTTTAGGGTCTAGGGCTTAGGGGTTAGGGTCTGCGGCTTAGAGTTTAGGGTCTAGGGCTTGGGGGTTAGGGTCTAGGGCTAAGGGCTTAGGGTTTAGGGTCTGCGGCTTAGGGTCTAGGGCTAAGGGCTTAGGGGTTAGGGTCTGCGGCTTAGAGTTTAGGGTCTAGGGCTTGGGGGTTAGGGTCTAGGGCTAAGGGCTTAGGGTTTAGGGTCTAGGGCTTAGGGACCCTCAACCCCGGAACTCTCCAAACCCCGCGCCCCTCAACTCCTCCTTGTAGACCCTAAACCCTAAACCCTAAACCCTAAACCCCCCCCCCGAACTCCTCCTTGTCGGTGGAGAGGACACAATTCAGATTCCGAGGCAGGAAGGGATCTTCCACGTGCAGCCGCTGCGCTTGCCGGCCCGGGAGGTTCATGAAATCGGGGTCCGAACCCGGCTTCCGACGGCCGACTCGAATCGAGACTACCTGCATGTGGGCAGTTTTCTAAATTCGGGTCCCTTTTAGGGTCCTTTTTATAAGGGTGCCGTACTATATTAGGGACCTGAAAAGGGACCCTAATTTGGAGAACTACCCATGTACTAGGGTTTAGGGTTTAGGGTTGATACTACCTGCAGGGTAGGGTTCGGGGATGCTTATATAGGGCTTTTGGTTGAAGTTCGTCTTGTGGGTTAAGGGTTGGGGTTTCGGGTTTAGGGCCAGGGCTTTTCGGGCTTTTAGGGCTTAGGGTTTAGGCTTTTGAGTTGACTTTTTCGGCACAGGGATCTAGGCTGTGACCAGGGTCTTGTGAAAGTCGTGCAGGGTTAGGGCTCTGCCCGCTTGCTTTCTGGCCCATACTACAGACGCCTCAACTTCTCCCTCCCCGACGGCCCGACGAAGCTTCCGAGCACCTGGCTAATCTCTAAAACCTTAAACTCTGTGTAAGCCTAAAACCCTACTAAAACCCTAACAACTTGCTAAGACCCCAACCCCTCAACCCGAAAAGCATAAGAGCCTAAATCCATTACCCCAAAAAATCAACACCATCAACCCGAAAAGAAGCATCAAACCCCGAACCCTGAACTCAACCCCTGACCATCCCTAAACCATCCCAAACGCCACGGGTTGTGAGGTTTAGGGTATTAGGGTTTA